TTATTTCATTATATATTACAATGTAATAACAATAGAAATAAAGTGCACAATAAATGTAATGCACTTCAGTCATCCTGAAACCATCTCCCCATCGCCCACCCACCCCGCCTGGTCCGTGGAAAAATTGTCTTCCATGAAAACAGTCCCTGGTGCAAAGAGGTTGTGGACCACTACTATAGTGCCTCACAGAGTGATTATTGCTAAAAACTTAATTTTTTTAATTAAAAAAATAAACTGGTAACAAATTAAACAATTCAGGTATGTATTAAAAGTTTTAAAGCAATCTCTCATCTTCCTGAGATAATAACTAACCAATGTTAACATTGGTATGTAATCTCTTATATTTCCTTTGTGCTTTATACATTTCCAAATTACAGATTACTTTTTTCTTTTCACAGTAATGGGATATTCTATATATATCATTCAGCAACTTGCCTTTTACAGTCAAACCTATATTAAGAACATTCCTTCAAGCTAGTAGGGTAGCGTAACTTATTTTTTTAAAAGCTGCATTACATTTTCTAGTACGATGGTACTGTAATTTATTTAACCATTTCACTGTTAGGCATCCAAATTATTTCCAGGTTTTTTTGTTTTGTCACTATATACAACGGTGTAGGAAACATTCCTATACATGTTTTTGTACATATGGGTACTTTTATAGAATTTGGAGATTTACTAAAATGGAATGCTGGCAAAAAGGATATAGGTCTTTTTAATTTTAATAGATATCACCAGTTGTATTCCAAAAAAGGTTATAGCAATTCACATCCCTTCCAGCAAGATATGAGAGTACATATTTCTCCCCAATTTTAGTCAGCATATTTTCCTTTCATAGGTATTTTTTTATTTGCTTTTTCTCTTTTTAGGATAGCCTATTCATATGCTTTTCCCTCTTTAAATAATATTGTGTATCTTTTCTAGATAATTTATAGGACCTTTCTATTTACGCGTGTGTGGGCGCATTTCTTTTCCTGTATTTACACACACACATATAAATAAATAGAGGTCCTA